TAAAATGCTGCTTTGTTACAGTGTTTAACGTAACTGTATGAATTGCAATACAAAATTCAGTTTTACACCTCTCTTTGTGTGTCTTTATTATGACGTAACAACTAGTCGACTAGTAAATATAGGTAGTTGTGAAACTCCTACCGGGGACACATATTTATGTATAAAAGACGTACAAAACTGCAATTTGCATGATAGGAGACCATTAAGAGTCAAACTAAAGTGTATTTATATGCTNTTAATAGTTTTAAATATTGTAAAGCAAGCAAATGGTGGACTTGCGCCCTACAAATACTCACACTATAAAAACACGATATATGCACACAAGTCAATAAATATAAACTCACCTAATGACTTTCAGGGCTTTATCCTAGCTAACACCAGTGAATGACAATGTTTACAAATTGACAGCTGTATTTACCTTGCTCGGTGTAACGGGTAAATGTGAACTCAGCTTTTTGCAAACAATGCGTCCAAAGTGATAACCTATAACTATGACGAAGATATGATGACATTTAATAACTTGTAATAACTTTGAACTTGGAGAGATCTTCTCGGAACAGAACCAGCTTACTCCTCCGATGCGGGAAGAAAATATGGTGGACCCCCCCACCCCCCTTAACCCTTGTATGGTGTTTGGGTCAGTGGGACCCGTTTTCATTATTTAGCTAAAGAAAAAGTATATGATAAAAAATGTTCAATGACCAGCCACTGACTAGTCGACTACCTCTACCACTAGTCGGCGCTGTAGGCCCTAGTCAACTAGTCGTAACAAAATGGAGGCAAACGTGGGATATGAGGATGCCGACAATGCCGCTGAGGTGCTGCAAAAAGCTCCAGCAAAACACGCCCGACATTCAGGGGTCCTCATCCTATGCGCAAATGCACCATAATTATGCGCTCGACAGTTTCTGTTTTAGCTCAGGCGCTAAAGGTTCACGAGCGTGCTCCACTAGCATCCCCCCATTGAACAGCTGTTTGGACCTCATTTCGAGACCAAGAAGAAAAAACGGGTCAACAGTGGGCGCGCGCAGATGAGCTACAGGATTACTGCCAGCAGACACCCCATGCACAATGGATAACCCTCTGAAGTGGTGAGCATAAAACGCAAACCGTTAGCCAAGCTTTCCAGGAGCTACCTGGCTAGCCACCAGCACCCCAAGTGAACAGCGGTCAAGCCTCCTTACCTCGCATGTTGATGCTTTGGTCTCCCTTAACGCAAACCAAAAAACCTGGAAGGTTGGACATTGTTATCGAGGAGGACAGTGACAATGAGTAAAGCGTTGCGCAATGCGCACTGGATTTACATTGCATGTATGTTCTTAACAGAATTTTTGCAGTAGATTTAGTGAATCCAGATACTGTTTCTAATTTAATCAGCCATGTAACAGCATGTAACACAAATTAAAATGCTGCTTTGTTACAGTGTTTAACGTAACTGTATGAATTGCAATACAAAATACAGTTGTACACCTCTCTTTGTGTGTCTTTATTATGACGTAACAACTAGTCGACTACTATTTTGAAAAACTTGTCGACTAGTAAATATTGGTAGTTGAGAAACCCCTAGTATCAACGGCTGTAATGTTAGTGTGCCTCCTGAAGTATTATTTGAATTATTTGAAGTATTAAAGTAACGTATTAAGCAGCTAGATGTGATTATTGCTGAACCATATCTGTGTTGGTGTTTTATTTGATTTCTTTGTTTTGTTCTTTCATGTGTGGGTACTAAATGGCTACAAACATTGTGGAGAAATTAGCTTAAACATGTTTTATTACTCTGTATGAACAGAGAGCAGTTCTGCATTCCAGTAGATTGGAAGAGCTGGGGGAGGAGACAATCTTCTTAAGATTTTCAGCATGTCAATTATCAGGGAAATCTATTTGTTTTAAATGGATGTGTATGGTTAATTACTTTGTATTAATAGTATGTGTAAAGGAAGCTGGAAATATGCAATGTGAAACCTTTTATTTGAAGTAAAGATGTGAACAATAGCTCAAATGGACTGGAAAGGCTACCAGGACAAATGAGTGTGTTCTCTAGACTGGGCCTGTGTGAAGTTTGACTATTTGAAAAGCATCTCTAATACTGCTTAAGAGCATAGGTAATGTGTTCCTCGTTATTATTGATATGAANGGAAAGGTTCCAGGACAAATGAGTGTGTTCTCTAGACTGGGCCTGTGTGAAGTTTGACTATTTGAAAAGTATCTCTAATACTGCTTAAGATAAGGTGACCAGATTTTCAAAATTAAAACCCGGGACATTTTGAGTTTTGCGGTCAATATATCATTAACATATCCACTTTTCTTCACTGTTAAAGAAAAAAGGGGGACAATTCTGGTTCAATGTAATTCGAACNGCACAAAACGCAAACCGCTTCCCCCGTTTAGCCAAGCTTTCCAGGAGCTACCTGGCCACCAGCATCCCAAGTGAACGGATGTTTTCCCTGGCAGGCAACACTCACCCGACAGCGGGCAAGCCGCCTTCCCTCACATGTTGATGCTTTTTGTCTTCCTTAACGCAAACCAAAAAACATATTTATGTATAAAAGACGTACAAAACTGCAATTTGCATGATAGGAGACCATTAAGAGTCAAACTAAAGTGTATTTATATGCTCATGCAAGTGCAAATAAAGTGATGATTAATAAGAAGTATTTAGATGTCCTCAACATCAACTCATGACCCATAAATCAAGAAAACATATTTATGTGTATTATGTTAATAGATTTTTTTTTAATAAATCTATATTTTAGAATTATAGAATTATTTCCAATGTTACCCTTTTTTCAAATTCAGCCAGTGGGATGGATTGGACCAGCTGGTGGTCTGTTATTGGCCCCTGTGCCGTTTGTTTCACACCTTGGCTATGGAATTCATTGTTAGATATAATTTCCCATAATGTATGAACAAATCGTTTGCTTTATATTGTTTGATTGCCAGATTGTACATGATGGTACAAAATGACGTTGTGCTAATTGAATGTACTTTCTTGTTTGATAACTTTGAGCTTACTGAGGTGTTTCTGAGCCAGTGTTTAAAGATACAGACCTAATAATAAGGTAAATTGGACAAAGATTTATTGGTATTAAAAAACAACAACAATTATACTCATTACTTGCAAAAGGTTGTGTAGCATATTTTGTTTTCTATGTCAACAATTTGGATGTTTCCCAAAAATCCCAGTAAGCAAGTCATTTTAAAGTATTGTGAAGAAGATATGATGTATAAAAACACAAATAACAAACTGAGGGAAACATGATTTTAAAGTCAAGGTGTAGGACTTTATTGACTCAGAGTGCGCATTGTTCAAAACTCAACAACAACAGTGGAGTTAGAATGATGGAAGAAAGGCAGAAGAGTAAGATGGTGATCGCAGAATCAGACTTAATAGTTGGCCATGGTTGTCTCCAGCCAATCGTTGAAGAGGCAGACCTGTGAATGGAGACACGAGGAGGTTTGTTAAAAAACTAGCAAATATGATACATTTTAACTGGGCATGCTCATTGTGAAATATAAGTTTCATATTGTCTATTGTAGAAATCTTTTCAGTTTACCTTGGCGTAGACACCGGGGTTGTCCTTCTGAGCACATCCGTAGCCCCAGGACACAACACCCTGCAGCTCACCGTTGCACACGACGGGTCCACCAGAGTCTCCCTGAGAGAGAATTCATTCGTGAAGAAATTCCCAAATATTCTGTATTGGCAACTAAGATGCATTGGTATAGGAAAAGGAGAGAGTTGTTTTGTTACACACCTGGCAAGAGTCCTTGCCTCCCTCAAGGTATCCAGCGCAGAACATGGCATCAGTGATCTGACCGGGGTAAGAGTTATCACAGTCCCTGTCGGACAGGATGGGGATGTTCAGGCACTGCAGCTTGTTCTTGTCAGCGGCTGTTCAAACAATGTGGGTGGAAAAGGGTTAGAATAGCAAAAATGAAAAAAAAACAACATAGTGTAACTCCTAGCTGTTAAAATGCGGGTGTTACTCACAGGAGCTCATGGTGTTTCCCCAGCCAGAGACGGTGCACATGGTGCCAGCGGGGGCACAGCTGCTGGGCAGAGCCACGGCCTGAACGTACTGGTTGAGGGTG